TCCATTTAAACTTCTAAACTGCATGATTTTTGTTATTAAATAAAACTTTAAAACAGCAAATACAACGACATTACATATTGTAGATAGTAGAGTATTGTATATGTACAGCATCACATCAACAACCCAGTATATCTTTGGTAATCGCGATTTCCAGTAGCCGTCAGTTCGTGATTGCTACTTGTGTGGATATCTATAGAAAATAAAAACAGGAAGTTGGCCATAGAGCGTGATGTGTGTCAGAGAACATCGCGTCGCCAAATCCGAATTTTAATTAATGGAATTTGTAATCCGTTATAGAGCAGGAGGTTTGGTATTCGCCTTTCTCTTACACTGGAATGAAAATTACTGCCAAGTGTAACAAATGGTTATCTTAAACAACCACCTGGAATATAGCCACAAACTAGATGTTATAGATCTGGTATTATGGTCATGACTCAAAACAAAACCATTGTCCATCATGACCACTAATTATCCTCAACAATCTTTGCATAACTGTGGTCATGTCCAGACACATCTAGGTTATATAGTGTCTGTGCGGCAAATTTAAATACAGATAACGTTTCCCAATTATATGTGCCGAAACACTAAAATTTAAACTTCATTCTGTCTCTCTTCACACCAGTTATACAAGCTGGATTCAAAATCTTGGCAACCCGGTGAAATCTCGTAAATGTAATGTCATTTACAGAAATGTTATTCATTGTTTCTGTTGTTCTTTACTATATACTTTTCTTCTGATTTCCCATGCGTTACTTTGTTTCAGATCCAATGGGAATACAATGTGAATGTTCTGCTGGGGTTTGGCAATACAACTCCAACGGCAACTGGGTTTTCGAAACAGATAAGTATTGAATGTCCGGTGTCATATCCCTACGAGAAGAAATGACTCTGATAGATTTGCACGACATCGTCAGCAACAAATTTTTCGGTAATAGTTCGGGTAAGACTACTCCTGAAGTCTCCTATTGGTCTCCGCTGTCCGCAAACAACACGGCTGGAATTATTACTCTACCAGTAATAATACGCAGCTCGGGTGCCATCTCCTTTTTGTTAAAACGCTTGAAAGAGAATCCTACCTTAATGCTTTTCGTCAAGTTTGAGAGTAATCAACAAACGCAATCAGCTGGAGAAAGGGAGATCTCAACCCCCCAACCGAAAAGGCAATGTCTTAATGTGAACATGTCTACTCCGGTCAACACTAACTACGCGTCATCTGAGAAACCTGGTACTTCTGCTGCTGCCTTCATTACACCCCAGGCTTCATTGCCTTCTGTTTTGGACGACGATCAATTAATCCAGCACACTCTTCAGCTTGAAAAATCGCTGACCCGGCCTCCACGCCTCCCACCAAAGAAAGCAGTCAACAATCCGACACCACAGTTTAACCTAGACGTCCTAAAGTTTGATTCGAACCTTCCGGATGATCCAGATACACATAATCCACAACCATCAGACACTGCTGAGTATGACCATAACTCCGAATCCACAGACAGTGACGGTGATGGAAGAGAAGACCTGGATAGTGTACAAGTTTATCCACGTAGTTACGACTATGAGTTTTGGAATCCCCTCTTGGAGACTGGATATGGTGGATCAAACGCACCGGAATTTGTATTCGACGATGAGGATTTGCCGCCCAATATCCCGCCCATACCAGATTCAAACCAACTTTTCGTCATTGCCCCATCAACTTACCCTCCCTTACCAGCTTCTACACAAGTTTTATGCAGCACAATAGCCCCTCAACCTGTTCCCAGAAGTCTCTCGGACTATTTAGATGAGGATTTTGACATTCCTCCATTGTTTGATGATTCTATATATTCTGTTCCAGATATTCCAGACTTGGATGGATCGGATGATGACAATCACTTATTCGTTGGGAACAGATATGGGAGCAATGCCGAGTGCCCAATAGCATTAGCAGTTTACGCTATTAAGAAAATGTTCTGCTTCCGGCAACCCAGGTCAAATCCCAAAAGCTTCATACTGTTATACACAGATCCAAAATGTGGTTGGCGAATCCGAGCAGGGCAGATAGGGAAAACAGGGTATTTCGAGCTTAAAATGGTGAAGTTGAGACACACCTGCGCCTTTGAAACAAAGAATTCTTACAACCAAAAGGCCAATTCCCGTATCATTGCCGCTGTTTTCAAATCCCAATATGGAGACCCATCAAGCGGACCAAAGTCCGCTGAACTACAAAAGTTGGTCCTCCAAGAGCTACATGTGTCAGCCTCCTGGATGAAGTGCTACCGTGCCAAAGGACAGGCTATAGCGACGTTCCGCGGTAAGGATGAGGAATCCTATCTATGGTTACCTGCATACTTAAACATGCTCAAACTTGCCAATCCGAACACAGTGACCGACTTGGTAACCGATAAGGATGGTGACACAGTGAGGTTTAAATACGTATTTGTTGCCTTTGGTGCGTCAATCCTAGGTTTTCGTAGGCTACGGAGGGTATTGGTCATTGATGGAACTCATCTATGGGGGACTTACAAAGGTGTACTACTGACTGCCAGCGGGCAAGACGGCAACTTCCAGGTTTTTCCGTTAGCATATTGAGTGGTGGATGCTGAAAACGACGAGTCATGGACATAGTTCTTATCAAAAGTGGAGTGTATATTAGCTGACAGTACCAACTTAACTATCATATCGGATCGGTCTGATTCCATATATTCATCAAAGGCCAAAGTTTTTCATCTTGCACACCACGGATCTTGCGTGGTTCATCTTCAACGGAATGTCAAATCAAGGTTTAAAAGCAAGGGACTAGCCAAGCTTCTATCCCAGGCTGCATATGCCTATAGACAGAAAAGCTTTCGCGATTCTTACGAAAAAATAAAAGACTGCAGTCCTCAATGTGCTCAATATCTCGACAACATAGGTCAAGCTCACTGGTCACGCTACCATTTCAGGAGCGAACAATATAATCTCATGACAAGTAATGTGGCGGGGTAGCTCAATAACGCTTTGAAGAAAGGAAGGGCCTCACCTATTGTTGAATTACTTGTTTTCATCCAAAGGATGATGTCGCGTTGGTTTTTTGCACGCAGAAAGAAGGCACAGCGATGGGAGGGTTTGTCCACACCTGAAGTCGACAAGTTGATTACAAAACACAAGGAAGAAGCAGACTTCAGCAAAATTAACCATTTGTCTACATGGAGTTGCGAAATCATTGGTCGCCTTGGTGAAAGAACCGCGTCATGGTTCAGGATAAGAAATGCACATGTAAGGTCTATGACCGTCTTCAGATTCTGTGCAGCCACGCTTTGGTTGCCGCAGATAGTTTGGGCCTACCACACTCTTCACTTCTTTCAGAATATTACAAAACGTCCACGTGGGCTGCAACATACAAAGAGGTCATAAACCCGGAAAAGATCCGGACGACGTTGAGCTACCCGATTCCGTGTTGAGCCTTGTTTTGCATCCACCAAAAGCTAAACGACCATCTGGGAGGCCTAGAGAAAAAAGAATTCCTTCCAAAGGAGAGTTAAGAGTATGTTACAATCCCACTCCCTGGTCATTTATAAAAAGTTTATACATGGTTGGACTTAACGATTTTCGCATTACTATTGCAGCCGAATAGAATCAAGAAAGCGGTTCCCAAAAATGTGGACGCTGCCAGGAGACAGGACATAACCGTCTACGTTGCACTAATCCACTTTGAAAACTATGTCACCAACTACATGGTTACAACCACTTCTGTTGTGACAGTCAAATCAACGATCGGGTCTCGTTTCCAGCGGAGATTTTTTGTTTAGTATCCATTTTCAACTTTACGTTATGTTGTGATCCTTTTGTTAAATATAGTCATTCACTGAATATCCATCCGATATCCATGGGTGATATAATGTTATGAGCACATATTAATCCTATATTAATGTCAATGTATTTTCTATACATATTCTCTCTAGCTGTGGACGCGAATATGAGGATGCCAATATGTGCCGCGATAACTCTGTACATTACATATCTATCAAGAAATGTCGATATCTTCTGGACTCGACAAATCATATTAGTAATCAACAGATACGGATGACCATGAGACATTAACTAACCAAACACGATGCACTAATCAGCTTAATTGGCATACCCAACAACATTGCACTCATCGTTTTTGTACACATCCATGGGTTGAATACCGTTCATAATTACATGTCTACACCAAGTCATGGACACGTACGGGTAATGATGGACATATTCAATTCTTCTACGTTATTTCGTCTGTACACATACATCCTAGGATAACATACGCATGATGGACATTACGGGTACGGTCGCTGTTACCAATAGGCTCGGTCGCCATTACCAGTACGGACGACGTTGCTTTAACTGTATCAAACTTTATTCGCAATTACCAGTATGTTAGCTGCAACATTTAAAATCACACTTTATCCTCATCGTCTAGCTCGGAAAAATACCCAGAAATCAACTTTGTTATCCCCCTTGAAATGAGATATCAAATTACGCAGTTAACGAGATGTTGAGTAATACCTGAAAAATAAAGACGTTTGTCGGCGGGAATAATCAGACGAGACTCAGATCGAATTTCTTGCTCGGTTTACAAGTAATTTCTTGATCGGTTTACCAGAAATCAGACGGGACTCAGCTATCTAATCAGACGGGAATCAACACCTCCGACATCATGATCGTCGTTTACTAAACCGTTTTCTTGATCGGTTTGCCAACTTAAGTTGTACCTGTCTGTAAGAATTCTATCGGTGAGAAGGGTCATGGCGGGATTTCGCAGGTGGAAACTTCAATAAAGTGTCATCAGGAATGGAAGTGTCATATTCTGTAAATATAAACTCAGAAAGTGTCAAAACATGTAACCAAATCTTTAAAAATTATGAATTTTAGAAATCAGTCTGCAAAGATATTCTCTTTGACAGATTTGTTTATATTGCAAAAGAGACAACAGTATTTGTATTAAAGAAAAAATATTATGAAAGTAAATTAAGAATTTATTTGATCAAATATTATAATCAGTACACAATTTAAGCAGTTTTAGTGATTGAGACACAATGAGTCCAAAAATCATCTCTCTTCTTCAAGTATTGGGTTTCGTTAGCAACTAGGTGGGGTCTATCTGAAATGTATTTGATCAGCATGTCGTGACACACTTTTCCTTCTTCGACAAGATCATGACAACACGCATCAGTGATGGTTCTGTTTCCAAAGACAACTCTGATTATATCCAAAGCACACTTAGGAGTGATTTTAAGAAGGCATGTATCCCATAATGTTTTTGCTTCACCTTCTTCTACAGAGAAAGCAGGAACAAATGCACACACCAAAGCTACAACAATGAATAGGGTTGTCAATTGGGAGGTACTTGTAGTCATATCTGCTAAAACTTAGAAAACGATCGAGTTAATATTATGGTACAAAAAAGAATATAATGAGAATGGATTGTCTTAGTGGAAGCTATTTATAGGTTTTTATAATCCAAACATAATTATCAAAAAAATTTTTAAAGAAAGCGTCGTAAATCAATACAATTTAACGTAATATTAATCATATGATGCTAACATCGTTAGACTTTTGAGAAGAAACTTATGCATAGAAATTAAGTTATAACGGCATTATAAATCAAATGATAAGATCTCACGGTCGGAATGACAATTAAACATGAATTTTAAGAATGATAAATATGATGCTTTAATTTTAATATACCTAAATAAGTTTCATTATGTTTAATTTAAAAACGAAACACACATCATCTTTAAAAAATATTAGTTTAGGTCAGTGATAAATTGAAATGTCAAATACTTAAATATTTTTTTAAATAAATGATTTTATTCAAGTTATTTGGTGTTTGCAGTTTAACATAAAACATGTACAAATATTTTAAATCATGTGTCATTTAAATGTTTGCTAAGGTAATATAGGATTTATTCGTGAAAATTATATAGCATGCTTACTTTATTTTAGATAGTTTATTAAATAATGATATTTATAGGCTATTTTGTTACACTTATTATCATTTATACATCATTCGATTGCAGTAACAAATAAATTAATAATCAAACTTAATATTTTTAAAATCTTTGCCTTTTTCGAGAATATATCAATATCCTTCACCAATATCATAGAATTGGATGTTAAGATTATGAATACTAAGAATACAAAAGATATTTTAGATTTTTTTGAAAAAAATAATGAATAAACACTTACAACTACAATTAATCATTGTAAAACAATACTTTGTAGCTTTGGTTTATACTGCTGAAAAGTTTGAGATATTAAAATGATATTAAAAAAAAAACTGTCCCATTAAAATTTATTCTTAAATATCTTGTCAATAGATATAAAGTTTGACAACTTGAATAATTACAAAGTAAAATTAAGGCAATGTCAACTGGATGATATTTTTAGAAAAAAAATTTGAAACTTATTAGATGTTGCAAATCAAAATACAGCCGAAAATAACATTAAAAATAACCAAAAAGTAAAATTTTGAAACTTGTATAGTATATTCGGGTTAAAATAGCTTCGTAAATAAAATTTTAACAGCAACCAAAGTATTCAGTTTTTGTCTCCAAGCATATGATATGATTTTAACGATTATATATACAAGCTTACCGATCTGTTCATGAATGATCTTTAGCAAAGCACATTTACCATAAAAAATATTTAGCCTATAAAATATCTGGACTTTTCTCAACCTTTAAAAAAAACTTTATGCTGGGTAGAGAACAACATTTTTTAATTGAACAAAATTGAATGTTTTTGTAAGATATTTTATATATGATTTTGAAGTAATCGATGAATATAGTATATTCGATTTCTTTTTGTTCTTCACATTTTCAACATAAGTTTAAACTCAGTGTTTATAAGAAAACTTGTTAGAGTCCTTAGACATACATTTTAGTCAAATATTAAAACTCAGCCAACAATATTTGTTGCAACTCTCAATATTCAACTTTCGGATTATTTTGACAAAATCTCAATGAAAAAATTTTAAATATCAAATACTTAAATATTGTTTTAACTAAATGATTTTATTCAAGTTAATTGGTGTTTGCTGTTTAAAGTATAACATGTACAAATATTTTAAATCATGTATCATTTTAATGTTTTCTAAGGTAATATAAGATTTATTCATAAATATTATAAAGCATGACTACTTTATATTAGATACATTTTTAAATAATAATATTTATAGGCTATTTTGTAACACTTAATAATAATATTTATACATCATTCGATCGCCGTAACAAATAAATTAATAATCAAACGTAATTTTTTTAAACGTTTGCCTTTCCCGAGAATATTAAAATCCTTCACCAATATCATAGAATTGGGTGTTAAGATTATGAATACTAAGAATATAAAGGATATTTTAGTTTAAAAAAAAATTGATGAATAAACACTTACAAGTACAATTAATCATTTTAAAACAGTACTTTGTATCCTCGGTTTATATTGTTGAAAAGTTGAAGATATTAAAATGATATTAAAAAAAACTGTTCTATTAAAGTTTATTCTTAGATATCTTGTAAATATGCATAAAGTTTGAAAACTTGAATATTTACAAAGTAAAACATCTGTCTTCACAAAACTAAAGCAATGTCAATCGGAAGATGTTTTTAGAAAAAAACTTGAAAAGTTTTAGATGTAGCAAATCAAAATATATTTTTTAAAAAAACCAAAATAACATAAAAATAACCAAAAAATAAAATTTTGAAACTGGTATAGTATATTCAGGTTTAAATAGCTTTGTAAATAAAATATTAACAGCAACTAAAATATTCGGTTTTTGTCTCCAAGTATATGATATGATTTTGACAATTATATATGTACAAGTTTATCGTTCTGTTCATGAACAATCTTTAGCAAGGAACCTTTACTATTAAAGGATATAGTCTATAAAATATCTGGACTTTTCTCAACCTTTTAAAAACTTTATGCTGAGTAGATAATAAACTCTTTTAATTGAACAAAATTAAAGGTTTTTGTAAAAAGATTTATATAAGATTTTGAAGTAATGGATGAATATAGATATTCGATTCTTTTTCGTTCTTCACATTTTCAACAAAAGTTTAAATTCAGTGTTTATAAGAAAACTTGTTAGAGATATTAGACATACATTTTTGTCGAAAATTAAAACTCAGCCAACAATATTGGTTGCAACTCTGATGGGCTTGCGGGCCTAGGGTTTGTTTTGAACAAGCCCGTTGGTCCTCAAAAAGTTTTAAATGTATAAAACTCTAGTGTCTGTAAGTGCACCGATGTACGTTGTAGGACTTAGTGTGTCGATCTACAGGGAGGATGTCTAATCTGCGAGAAACAACAAACTGGGAAAGTAAGCAAAGTCATAAACCAATAAAAGTTTTGGGGTTTTTGGTTTAAGAGTCTTAAACTAAACCTAATCTAATATTCAGAAGAAATGCAATGCAGGAGGAATTGTTAAAAGAATATCTCAAGCATATCAACTCAAACTAAAGACTCTTAAACTCATAGGTGGCGACTTAGACTTCTCCGGTTTACTCTAATTGGTGTATGATGGCATTTCCAATTAGCTTCCGGGCGATTTATCTTCATCTGTTTCTGGGAATCTGCATGGAACTAGAATAGACATATGTATGATTAACCAACTCTCGTCACCTTAATCAACTAATCTCTTAGATCTAGCAATTAACTCTCGCTCTCATGCTAAACTTAAGATCATGCATTTGACATTGAATTTGTCTTCTCACATCTTCTCTATAGGTAGCTTTCGACTCCTATAGCGACTATGTTCTTCTGAAGCTAGGTACGGATGATCTGATACAACATTCTCGTGGCTCTAATCGATCCTAGGCTCAGAGAATAGGTCATGAATCTAATCTCATGCTTTATCAACAACCTAGAAGAGATGAGATCCAGAATATGGTCTAGAACAATAGAAATCCTAATCGATATATATGTGCCTATCGATATCTTCAAACAACTTGATTCTTTAGGACTAATCTACATGATGAAATGAATGATGAAAAACATAGAAGAATGCAAAATAATGAAACAGAAAAGTTAATAAGATAAAAAGGAGGAAGAACAATGGATCTGGGGAAGAGTCCCCATCTCCATTGCCTAACCCTAGAAAAACAGAGTTTGGTGGCTCAAAATCTCATTACAGGAGCACACACCCGTTTAGGACTGCTAAACAATGTATTTATAGGTCCTAAGGTCTTCTAAGTCCCATTTAGGACTTCTCTAGAGAGGAATGTCGAAGTGGGCTTTGATGTTGGGCCTTGTGGCTCGTCTTAAGGTCCACCGGGGGTGAGAGTTTTCCAGGGTAGGTAAAACATGTGTTTCTCGCGTGTGAGAGTCTTCTGGGACTGGTGAACTAGGTCAACTTATTCTCCATGTATCTTTTGATTGCACCGTCGGATCTTTGTGATGTAAAGTGTTATGGAAAGCTGGTTGTCTACAAATTTGAGTTGGATCAGACGGTGAGAAAGTCTTCATTAGAGGCTAAAATTATGACGGTCTGACTCTGAGCTAAAAAAGTGGATTTCTTCCATTTTGCCATCATATTCCCTAAGTTTCCTGACAAGAGCCTTGAAACTACAAATACATGGACATCATAATAAAAGTTCCTAAAACTGATTAAAATTTTTGAAAAAGCATTTGAAATCAATGGTGAAAAGTGGTCAAAATCAGGTGTTATCAACTCCCCCAGACTTAAGACATTGTTTGTCTTCAAACAAAACAAGATCAAATCTGGAAAAATGTCATTCAACAGAAATGAGAGGGAACTCAAAAATATCAGCAACCATATTTCAGACCTTAATTATGGACAATCTATCAATCAGACCAAGTCTAGAAAATTCTCATCAAAATACAAACATAACTAGTCTGTTAATCCGTCATGCGAAAATCCACACACTTAGAACTAACTTCCAGTCAACTAGCTCTTAACATTCATTTATAGATTTCAGTGATTTTCATCAAAAGGACATTAAACAAGGCATTCAAGGTTAGGTATCAAAAGGCTTTTTAATGGTAAGGCTTGGTGTGTTTAGGGTTACTTTTTTCTGGAGAGACATGACATTATGCAAAACAGCAAGAGAGGATGGAACTGTAAATGCCCCCACAGTTTCAGTCACATTCTCATTGCTTTAAGGCTTCTGATCTCCTTTCTTCAGGTTCTCCTTATAGTTCCCCCATACTTGGATTTTTGTCCAGGTTATGAATCCATAACTCCTTAGGTGAATATCTATTGCCTTGGCTAAAGTGATTTTGGCTTCTAAGACTCTTTTAGGCTTTTGGTTTCCTTTCCTTTATTTTTTTTCTCTTTTTTCTTCTTTTTTTTTTATTTGGGAAAGGGGAAACTGCCTTTTGACTTAGAGTCTTAAAGAGCATGAAATTTACCTTTAAGAATGAGCTTTTCTGAGGCATCATAAGATTTTTGGCATACGCCCTTCTGGTCTCTTTCAGTCTTTCTCTTGAGTGACTGAAAACTATGCTGTTCCTCCCTCTCCGGCGTTTTTGCACATATCTGTCGATATAAACTTAAGAGAGAATGCATGAGGTTTGAACATGAAGGCTTGGGTTAAGGGTGTGGTACCAGCTAAAGATGAACTGGCCATCTAGGACAACAAAGAGTGGTAACAATAAGGTAAAGATGTCCTAGATGTATATCATGATGCCTTTTTAAAACCATTGATGAGAAAATTAGATGTCAAGATTAAGTCCAATTAAAATGAGCTAGTATATCCTGTCAGAAAAGATCTTCATGAATAGAAGTCTTCTGGTGGGATTTCGTAGTGTAAGTACTCTAATTACCGCCTAGTCTAGTACTAAACCTTGAAAGAGCTTTTATGAGTGATCGGTGTAGAAGCAAACAGGTTGGTTATCATCATCGATTTTGTCATTATTCCCTCAAATTATTTTTAACCTTTGAAAACATTTTTTGAAACTCAAAAGATTTTTGAAAAGTTTTAAGAAAAACCGAAAAAATTGAATTTTTTTTTAAAAATGCAGAATGCAAATGTTCATGCAAAATCGTAACAAACCGTCACATATTACACGAGTCTCATCACAGTTTTATCCTGTGATTCAAAAATCGCAACAAAGGGTCACATATTACAGGCGATTTATTGAGTTAAGAAAAGAGATATCTCAACTCTGTGTTAATTAGTTTTTTCAAAACGGTTTTCAAAGTCTCGTTTTTATACACTTTTTTAAAAAATATTGTTTATAATTTCATTGATTTACTTTGTGATTTCAAATCGAATTTTTGCGGTCTAAAAAATCAACGATCAGCAACTATGAGGAATTAAGAGGTTTGCACGTACTCTCCCTGCCGGCCTCCAATTAAATAAATAGAATTAGAAAAACCTACACAAAAATGTTACAAGTTATATAAGTGTCATAATCTTATTGACATGAATAAATATATGTTTTTTCTTCTCGTGGCTAATTTTCGAAGAAAACATTTTTTTTAATTGTTATCTTGTTTTGCGCTGGACAATCAATCTCTAAGTTAGCCTCACGCCTTCTGGTAAATTGGTAAGTTAGTATATACTTTTAATTCAGGTTTTGGCCTTGTTCTTCTATTCCGATTTCGTTACGCATTTCTAATGGATGGCGGAATCTGTCGACGAAACAAAAAAAGGAGACATAGATCTAGAGTGGAATGGATCAGGAGTATCAGCATCATCAAAACTACGAAACTAATTTTCTAAATTTGTCAACAGCTTTAGATAAATGTTAAATACTATAAGCTGGTAATTCTAAAAACATTCCACACCAGAAATAAATAGCTAAATATTATTATAAGTATATAAAAATAACATAGAAAGAACAACGAAGCAGAGAATTTGGAAGGAAAAAAATACTTAAAAGAGGTTATAACTTATAACGTATTTGTCGTTAAATCTGTTGAATCGTTCTAACAAAACACAATCGTAACAAAAGTCAATTGGGTTCCCACGAAACGGTGGGGCCCATCGTGACCAGGTCTTTCTTCAGACGATCTCGTCTCTCTCCTTAACTTTCTTATTGATGTTTATTTTGTAATACTTTTTCAAGAAAGATTGTCTGAAATTTCAGGAGACAAGCAAAAAAAATGGGAAAAGGCTGGTTAACTTGTGTCTCGGTGTCATGTTTATCTCCACGAAGAGACAAAAAGCAACAAGTTGGTTTCCAAATTTTATTCTTTAGCATAAGTTTAATCTCTTTGTGAATGATCAAAATTTATAATCTTTGGATTCTGTTTGTTTTGTCAGAAAGCCGAGAAAGAGAGAAAAAATGGTTTGTTAACAAAGAGTAGAGAATCCTTTGAATTTCCTGTGGAGAGACTCACAATCGAGCCTCATCTCCTTTATTACTCGGACGTCGCCTCCTCCTCCTCCGTTGCCCGATTTTGCTCCTCAGCCATTGTTGCCACCATCGTCCCCTCCTCCTCCTCCCCCTCCCCTTCCGGCTTCTGCCAGTAATAAAGGTCATGGCGAATCCAAAGAAGCAAAGACAAGACAAGCTCTAGCTATTGCATCGGCTGTGGCAGCCGAAGCAGCTGTAGTTGCTGCACATGCTGCTGCGGAGGTTGTGCGTCTTACAACGACCTCAACACATCAAACAAAGGAAGCAACTGCCGCAATCACTATCCAAAATGCGTATAGATGTTACAAGGTAGCATACAAATCATTTCTTCCCTTAAAATGCTCCTCTTATTACGAGGCATTAAGTCTTTGAGCCTTCGTTTAGAATATAGCATATAAAAAAATTGGGGCATTCAAACAAAATCCGGTCAGGAAATGGTAACAAATTTATAAAACTTTATACATATACATTAAGTCCTATAATTTAGGAAAAATAAGAAACAAAAAAATTAACACATCAGTTATATACCCTTAGAAAAAGCTTTGAACATAGCTTTAAATTTTTAAGAAAGAGCTGCTTAGTCTAATTAACGTTTCACAGGCAAGGCGCACTCTATGTGTGCTACGAGGAATGGCCAGACTGAAGACGTTGCTGCAAGGAAAATACGTCAAAAGACAGATGAACGCGATGCTTAGCTCAATGCGAACTCTTACACGTTTACAAACACAGATTCAAGAGAGGAGGCATCGGTTATCTGAAGAGAACAAAGTTCGTCACAGGTTAATCCAGCAAAAGGGTCACCAGAAAGAATACCATCAGAATCAGAATTTGGTAAATTAATCTCTCTTTCCTTTTACCACACTGTGTAAACCAAAATCCTCAAATGGATCAACTCTTGTTTGCAGGTTATTGCGGGAGATTTTGATTCCAGCAATAAATCAAAAGAACAGATCGAAGCAAAGTTTGTGAATCGAAAAGAAGCTTCTGTAAGACGTGAGAGGGCTTTGGCGTATGCTTACAGTCATCAGGTACATATAAAATACAAATTTGTTTTGAATTTATTGTTCAGATTTCTATAGATTTTTATGTTGGAATATAAAACAGCAAACGTGGAGAAACTCTTCAAAACTTCCACACCAGACTCTGATGGACGCAAACACTCCTCATTGGGGTTGGAGTTGGCTTGAACGGTGGATGGCTTCTCGTCCGTGGGATCCTCAATCAAACGAAGATCAAGCATCCCTCAAAAACTCTCTTAAACGCAAAAACTCCACCAATACTTCTCCTGCAAGAACTAAAACAGTAAAGTCAGCCAGCCAGAAAGCTATCAAGTGGCCTACAAACAATGATTCCAAGAGCGAGGGGATTCACCGCAGGCACAGTATCGGTGGTGGGTCATCCACAAATGTCAAAGATGACGAGACCGTTGGTAGCTCTTTGTCACGCAGAAGTTCCTTTGGTAAAACGGAAACTGTGAAATCAAATGCTGGTGTGGAAACAACAACCAACTTGAGTAACCCACAACCTTCGAAAAAATCCAAGGCAAGTATGGGAACAACCAAAAACATGAATAACACGCATGCTATGAAATCAATGGCTAGGGTGGGAACATTAGGAATCTTTGGTAAGAAGCAAGATGTGAAATCCAAGGTTAATGCGGGAACAACAAGCAACTTGGGTTTCCAAAAGAAGAAGGTTGTGTCTGATGATAAGAAGGAACCTCCGCAAATGGTATTGTCAAAGAAGAGGCTTTCATCTTCTACTTCACTTGGGAAAACGAAGAAATTGTTAAATTCAGACAAAGCAACAACAGGTGGTGCAAATGGAGAGAAAAAAAAAGAAGAAATGGTGGTAGCAGTTAGCCTAAAGTTATAGCCTTTTCAGACAAAGAGGTTGCTTTGGTGGCGATTAATAGAATCAGCATCTCAAATCCGAGATTTGTTTTCAATCGAACGCAAATACAAAAGTGAGGGAAAAAAAAGATTGTATTTTCGTTCTTGTCTTTGGGTGAGTATAAATTACTACTATCTGTTTGGGTTTGGCTTCTGTCTGTTTGATTATTTTCTTTTAGTTTTTTTTTTTAAATTCTATTTCGAGTTGTTTTTTAATAAAAAGACAGTCGTTGAAATTCTTGAAAATGACAAATGCAATGAATTTATCGATCTACAAGTTTGTGGATGAAATATTTATATATATTTTTTTGGAATGAATGTAAAATTTTATTATTCCCCTAAAAAAATCTTTTTACAGTAAGTGCATCGTTTGTTTGGAAATTCATTTAAAGTGAACTAGGTGAATGTACGTGCGGGTGGTTTTCATAATAATTATTTTTTTTTCTTTTTTTTGTTGTTTTTAAATTTTGATAAGTAATACAGGTTTTTGTTGATGTAGTTTTGGAAATTTTGTATTGTTATTATTCAAGTAGAATGAAACAAATGAAAAACTTATGGTACGAAGTACGGATAAGATCCTTTTAGTTTAGATTCATAATATATATAATAAGAAGATATTTACAACCAAATTTGATTTTAAATTTTAATTTTTATATTATGTAATTTTTTCTGAGAATTATATAACTCTTCAAATAGATATCATATATATTATAACCAAAGTAAAATTTTGAGTCAAAGCTCTCTCATTCAATTTTAGGGTGGCTAATTACCCTTTACCCCTTCTTATATTTTTTAAATTTAAATCTAATAAAAATATTAAAAATCGTAAATTAATTAAAAAATATTAAAAAAACGTAAATTAATTAAAAATTATGAAAAATTGTAAAATTAATAAAAAATTATTTAAAATTGGAATTTAATAAAAAAATTTAAAATTTAATAAAAATTATTAAAAATCTGAATTTAATCAAAAAATCTTTAAAATAGAAAATAAAAAAATATTAAAAATTGGAATTTAATAAAAAAAAACATTTAAAATCATATCATATATAATATATGCACAGTAATATTTTCGCTATAAGCTCTCTCATTCAATCTAGGTGACTAATTACTCTTTATTCTTTAATAAAATCTTTTTAAATATCCTTAATTAATTATTTATATTCATAATTTGTATAACAATTTTGCTGTTATTTTCATACAAATTATCAAAATAAAAGAAGAAAAAAACGGTAGATGAAGAAAATAAAGTATAAGAAGATGAAAACCCGAAGATGCAAAAGAAAAAATAGAAGAAAGTAAAGATGTGAAAAAGACAAACAAAAATTAGAAAAAAAGTTTGGATAAAAAAAATGACCAAGAAGAAGTAAGAAGCAGAAAATAAAAATGACTAATAAAACCAAAAGAAGAAGAATAAAAGATGTGGAAGAATAAGAATTTAGAGAATACAATGACAATAAAAGAAAACAAAGAAGATGGGGCAGACAAATAAAACAAAGAAAATCAACAGAAAAAAACGAAGAAAAAATCGAATGAAAAAAAATTAAGAAGTCAAATAAGATGAATACAATACATAAGATGAAATAGTCAAAAATAATAAAAGATAAGAAGGAAAAAACAAAGAATATGAAAAGCTAAAAAAATAAAGAAAAAGGAGAAGAATAAGAAAACAATAAAAATATGAACAAAAATTAATACAGTGAACAAGTAAGATAAAAAAAAGCCGGATAGGTCGAAGACGATGAACAAAAAAATCAAATGACCAATTGGAGAAGAAAACAAGGATAATCAGAAGAAGAAGTCATAGAAGAAAACCAGTAGATAGTAGACGGAGTGAAAGAAAAAAATAATAAAAAGGAAGAAAACTAGAAGATGAAGAAGACAAATTAGAAAAAGATAAATATGATGAAAAAATGAAAATTTAATAAAAATTATTAAAAATCGTAAATTAATTAAAAAATATTAAAAAACGTAAATTAATTAAAAATTATGGAAAATTGTAAAATTAATAAAAAATTATTGAAAATCGGAATTTAATAAAAAAAATTTAAAATTTAATAAAAATTATTAAAAATCAGAATTTAATCAAAAAATCTTTAAAATAGAAAATAAACAAATATTAAAAATTGGAATTTAATAAAAAAATTTAAAATCATATCATATATAATATATGCACAGTAATTTTTTCGCTATAAGCTCTCTCATTCAATCTAGGTGACTAATTACTCTTTATTCTTTAATACAATCTTTCAAATATCCTTAATTT